CGGGCATGCGCTACCATACCCGGCTAATTTTTGATTTATTGTAGAGATGAGGTCTCACCAAGTTGCCCAAGCAGGTCTCGAACCCGCGGGCTCAGGCAATCCACGCACCTCAGTCTCCCAAGGCGCGGGATTACAGGCTGAGCCATCGAGCCCAGCACTTGTGTACTTTTCTGCCAAGGCAGATAACTGTTGTTAAATAGTGAACATTGAGAGCTGCGGCTGTGACTAGGGAGCCTCCCCAACTGTCCCCTGTACACGTCAAAAAGTGGCATGGCAGCCTGTGGCTGCCCAAGTGCACCCTTCAGGGCTGCAAGACAGGCGGGACTGGCCTGCAAAGCTTCAGCAGTTACCCTGGCCAGCCAAAGGAGCTGCCTGGACAGTAGATTGACACCAGCAAGGTTCCTGTGGGAAGCATGTCCTAGAAGAGACAGTGTGGAATAGTGGTTACACCAGCCGGCTTTGGGATCACCTGGGCACAAATCCCAGTGTTGTGAGCCTCAGTTTCTTCACTTATAAAATGTGGCCACCAATAGGGCTGTCATAGAGATGAAATGAGATGCCTGTCCATTGCCTGGCACAGAGTCTAATGATACAATAGGTACTTAATAAATGTTGGCTTTCATTTACTACTATTTCTTTCACAAAACTTGGCAATGAGTGAATATTCAAAACCAACAACAACTTGGCAATGACCCGGTGCTATGGAGTTACAAAGCTTCTTCCAATACAACGATTCGTTTGCTACAGGCCCTTTGATTCCTCAGGAGTGAAGGTTGCAAAATGTACTATGTTTGCCAGGGACCCAAGAGGCAGTGAGCAAGCAGAACAAGAACGCTGAGCTGAACTGCAATTCTAGTTTCGTTTCTCCAAATTACTCACACTTCCTGGGCTCAAGCATCTTCTCACCTTAGAACCTCAGTTTTCTTAGTGGAGTCCTGCATTAAATCTCTCCACTAACTGCCAAGTGGAGAGAATACTATTCTCCTCCCAGGAGGGTGATGAGGCCCATAGGAGGTAACATTCACAAAACCAAGTGGACAGACGACAGTAGGTCCAGAGCAGGAATGCCACAGTTGCCTTTGCTTCCGGACTAGACCCGGCTTGGTGCCAAATGTCCTAGAGATTGGCAGAGCAGCCAAGCCTCTTGGCCATCTACTCTGTACCCCAACATGCCCTGTACACCGGCTCTGGGTTAGGCTGAGCTCAGAATGGAATATTCAAGCAGAGCAGAGCTCTGCCAGCTGCAACTACCACCACAGGTGATCAAGACAGTCACCGGCAGAGGCCCCTCCCAGAAAGCCCCAAAACATCCCATAGTCCAATGACTGACACTCAGGCCTGAAGGTCCCGGGAAAGAGCAACCGGCCCACGTGACATCCAATTTCAGGCCAAGCGGTTATCCGAGAACAGAGATCAGAGCCATGGGATTCCAACTCTAGGACCCACGGTGGGCAAGACACATGCTTTCTTATCAGATAGCAATGTGGCCCAATATGGGGCCAAAGCCCTGCAGTTGGGACAAAGGACCACAGACAGTGTTGAGGGAGGCACTCAGGAAGGTGACTTATTCTGACTTGTGTCAAGTGCACAAAAAAGGGAGCCTGGCTTTCAGACAAATCTGTGTGCAATGCTCCTTCATGGTCAGTTTGGGTAGGTGAGAAGACCACCTTGGAGACTCACCCTCTTCTCAAAGATGCACCCAGGGCCTCTGTAAACAGCTGCTGGCATAACAACTAGACAGAAGGAAGGACCACACCACAGCATGTGCCATGGCATCCCGGGGCCTGGCCAACGGCCGGCACAGCAAGTGGCGGACACATTTCTAAATGAATGTGGCCTTTCAGGCATCGACACTTAACCACAGTCAGCTCTGCCTTGATCCGTCTGGAGTCCCCACACTCTATGCCCCGACACAGAGTTTCCAAATGCCTCCTAACCTTCTGCTGAACAAGGGTTCTGGTTGTCCTCAAAAAACATACATTCTTCACCACCGCCGGCAGGTTCAGTCCACTCTCCAGCCTGGCATTCATAGCTCTGTCTGGCCTCAATTTATTTCTCCCCCCTCACCTCTCTCCACACTGCAGTCACACCCTCTACTCCTAGACCTGCTCTCATACTTCTTTACCCCTCAGGGTCTTTGATGCTCTGAGTTCCTCCACCTAGAATATCCTCTCTCCTTCCCTGTTACTGTCCACCTAACATCCAAAAGCCGGACATGGTGGCCCACACCTGTAATCCCAACACTTTAGGAGGTTGAGGTGAGAGGAGTCTTGAGCAGCCAAGAATTTGAGACCAGCCGGGGCAACGTAGTGAGATCTTGTCTCTATAAAAAATAAAAATAAAACAAATAAAATTAGTCAGGCCTGGTGGCACGCACTTGTAGTCCCAGCTACTTGGGAGGTTGAGGAAGAGGATTGCCTGGGTCCAGGAAGTCGAAGCTGCAGTGAGCCAGGATCATGCCACTGCACTCCAGCCTGGGTGACCTTGATTCAAAAACAAAACAAACAACAGAAAAGAACAACATCCTCCAGGACTTAGCCTGACATGTGATCCCCTATCCCCTGTGTGAAGCCTCCCAGGCTCCTTCCAGCTACACTTTTCCACAGCACTCTCTTTTCCTCTTAACAGACTGTCATGTCTTATCTTACCAATTTGCCTATTCTTCAGGATGCAGACTCTTTCAGAGTCCTGTGTTATTCAGCTTTGAGGGTGGCTCAGAGTTAAATGAAGGAATGCATGTGAAGGACCCAGTTCAGTGAGGGCTAATCCTAGGTCCTCAACAAGTGGCAGTGACCATATAGGGCAGGAGTAATATGGTGATAAATGTGTAGTCCTGCCGGGCTCAGTGGCTCAGCCTGTAATCCTGCGCCTTGGGAGGCTGAGGTCAGTGGATTGCCT